CTTACCTCGGGGAAGAAGCTTGAGCAAACAAAGGAGGAGAAGAAGAGAGAAAGCTCTGAACACTCAACAAGTACCACCCGACTCTAGCTCAGCACCTATATCACCACAAGGAATCAGCAATTGATGGAAGAGGAGAGTGAGGAATGAGAGTGAGTGAGAGTTTAGAGAGAAAGAGAGTTGGGGAGAAAGGAAATCTGCACGGGGGTCTCACACTTAAACAATGCGACACCTAATCAGCACATGCGCTTCATAAATATATAATCGTACAAATACCTAGATGATACACTAGTCAGCGAAATACTGGGACAGTGCACTGGTCAACAAAATGCATAAACATTACATTAGTCAGATAATAAAGGGACAATACATAGTTGGAAAAATCCCTAGAAGGCAAACTAGTCGGTAAAAAATTAGGATGGTACATTAATAATATTAAGTTAAATAGATAAAATTATATATTTTAACATAAGAGTATAATGTCCTTATTTTTCAGAAGAGAATAATATACTTTATTTTAAATTTTATCATTAAAATAAAATAAAAAGTATTAAAACATTAAAATAATTTTTATTTTAAATTTCAAAAATATAATATAATTAAAGTTTAAAATTTTAAAAAAATATTAGTTAGAATTCGATTTTAAAGAAATCGAATTCTAAATTATTAACAAATCATACACGGTAATAGTTAACTGTGAATTTGGGTTTAGTAATCATGAATTCACAAAGGCACAATAAAGAAGGTCACTATATTGTATAATTTTTGAAAGAGACCATATATGTATGTTTAAGTCCATTGAGGTTCAACCACATAAGAAAATAGCAAACAAATACCTAAATATGAGATATTGATTGAATCTTGATTATTTCAATCAATTCTTTAATCTAATTTTTATCTCACAAACCAAATTTCATAATCATACATTTCTATTTTGTGTTTTCAAATTCAACCACATCAAAGTCACCCAACATACATTTTTTAAAATATGACGAACGAAGGAATATTAATGTTGCTCACTCCATTATGAAACAAATAATGAACATTAGAGTACCTCTAACGGAGGTTGCTTAAGATGTATCTTAAAGATAAAGAATGATGCTTACAAAAAATTTTCATTGGAATGATCTAACGTGGCAAGAAAAGTTGAAAATCTTTTAGATCCATTACTTCGGCAAGGAACGATGCTTGGAACTCTAAAATATCAAATGAAGAGCTCTCAATGGTTCATCCCTCTAAGGTGGAAGCTTCAACAATATGCCTCGGATAGCCACGCCTCGTCGTAGCCATCGGCCAACGCCACAATTGCCAACCCTTGCGCAAACCACTCCCCGCGCGGAGACTTCAAAGAAAGCCTTGGTCATGATACGCGGATGAGTTCCACGTGGATGAGCTTCTCCGGAAAAAGCTAATGAATTACCGCGTTGAAGAAATTGAAATGGAATGTTCACATTGCGTACAAGTTGGATTGTTTATAATAAAATAATCATATTAGGCAAACCCACCTTGGTATCACAAATTCTTGAAAGGAAGAAAAAGGGAAGGTGAACATTGAAAAAAAATAATAGGGAAAGGTGCGGTAATTCAAAAAAAAAATGGAAAAGTAAACGTTGGAAAAAATTGAACATTTGAGACAAAGGCTAGCATGAAAGAGGAAGGGGAATCTAAACCTTGGAAAAAAATTGAACGTTGTGTTAAAAAGTGAACGTTCGGCGGCCTATAAATTGATGCACTATTCCCTTTTCTCTTATTGATTGTTTTTCATCTCCAATTTTTCTTTGTGATGTGTTTAAAATAAATTTTTTACATAGATCGCAACTAATATAATTTTCAAAGTTATTTTAATTATTTACAAAATTAAGTACCAATATAATTTTACATGAATCCCTTTTTATTATCGTATTTTTTTATTATGTAATTTTTTTTGTTTGTTATTCATATTTATATATTATATTATCCATAATAATTTTTTTTAATTTATCAAAAAATAGTGTTAGTTGTCAAAAAGTGTAGTATGAATTGTCAAAAAGTAAAAATACTTATAAACAATTTATATTGAAGAAAAATTATAAATCCTAAACCCTAAATCCATTAGGGTTTAGAGTTACATATGAGCAACTCCTATTATAAATACTCTTATGAAACAATCTTATTACTTTTTTCGATGCACCATCTCCATTAATTATTACAAAGAAATTTTCCTTTACCGGTTTTCTAAAAATTATTCCAACAACCAAAAATGTTTTGTGAATCTCATTTATGATGATTAACACATGACAAAACAACAAATGAAAAAAGTACTTATTCTTTTTATACGTTACATCAAAAGTTAAAACATCATCAAAGGCCTCATAATTCATTTCACTTTTTTCCATTACACCAAAATAAATGTTGAAATCTCATGTCATCATCAAACTACAATCATTAACGGTCTTTCAAACTCAATTCCAAAAAGTAAATCAATGTGCCATTAACATAAGTAGATTGTTACCATATTTATTTCCCTACTAAGTAATTATTAATATCTTTTCTCACATATCTAACCTTGTGATATCTCCTAGAATTGTTGGAAAATGCAATAAGTGTGTGTGGGTAGGTATCGGGGAGGGAGGGTCTAATACCAACCTTTAGAAAATTTTCAATTTGCATAATATCAATAAAACTCATTTTCATGTGCTTGAGTAACAATATAAAATATTGTTCTTCACGAAATTTACGATTGTGATCAATTGTAAAATTTGTGACAATCCATCGAGTCATATAAATTTCCGCATCAACATGAAACATTATATCCTACCCACATTTTGGTTTATTTTTTATTCACACTTTCTCCTTTTTAGATTCAGATGTTTGCTATAATATTTCTCTCTTCTCACAATAAAAGAAATCATGTAATAAAATAATACTTGTCACTAAAAAGTAGTTTTATTTATATTATAAATATAATATATGTTGATATATTATTAAAAAAAATGACTATAATATATGTTATTAAATATTATTTAAAACAATATTAAAATTATGTGTAGTTATAAGTCAAGTATATTTATATCTATAATGATATTTTTTGTTTGTCAATATACAAAATATTTTGTTGTGTTAGAGTATTTAAATTGAAAGAAGTAGGAAAAAAGTGGAAAAGAAAAGAAGAGTTTTTATTTTCATTTATTTAGTTAGATAAAAAAGTGGAGAGAAAGAAAATAGATTCTTTTAAAATTTTGTGTAATGATACATTTGCCACCTTAATATAAATAGACCTTCTAATAAGGAGACAAGGTTATAATTATAATTTTAGGTGAGTCTCATATTTTGTTATCTTTTTTGTTTTCCTCGCTAAAGGAGAGGTTTTTTTTTTTTTTTTTAAATTTTTTTTATGGGTCTCATACCTTTTTTTAGAGTTGTTAAAATGGGCCACAACCTATGAGTCAACCTACCTCATCATGGGTTCGACTCGAGTTGGATTCAAAAATATTTGTAAATTTCAGTAATGTTGAAAATTCGGCCCAATTCATTAGAACTCGACTCACTTAGGTTGAACCTGTGATGAGTCAGGTTGGCTTGCCATCCCACTAATACAAGAAAAAATGAAAATGAACCCCCAACCCACTAAGGCACTAATGTGAAAAAAATTAAAATCTAGTGTCCCAACCCATGAAGGATACACAAAGGATGGGGATTACTTGACTTTATTCACTTGAACGTTCCGCATTAGGAATTTAAGATTCTATCTTTTGTATTCTTCTTCGCCTCTTCAATGTCTTTGTGCACCGCCATCGCGTATTGTCACTGCGTGACCGTCTCAATCCACACCCACAAACTCTTCTACACCACACACTGCCACCACATGCATAACTTCATAGAGTGACCACCACATTCTACATACACAGACTCTTCCGCATCATGCACCACCACCGTACGATGACCAATGTGTGATTGCCACCACATGACTACCATCACATGATTTCCACAATGCACTACTACCATTCCACGCACAACTCGTCAACCCCTATAACAGTCGGAACACACCAGAATGATAGAGATCCAGAGATTCTACAAGTATGAGATTGTATAGTTGAGGATGGCTTAAAGAAATTAATTTGTACTACCTATACTAACAAGATGCATTTACTTTTTGGTAGCTTATTCCATAAGAACACCACAGTTAAACGTGCTTAACTTGGAGTAATTTAAGAATGGGTGATCTTCTAGGAAGTTTCTCAAAAAGTGTGTGAGTGAGGATAAAGCACGGTGAAAAGTCTTGTGTTGATTTGTAAGCTACCCATAAGAGTTCTGACCGGTGAAAGGTTTTGACCAACGAGAAGTTGTGTGAAGTGTCATCGTGTGAAGTCACTAAGAGGTCAAATTTGAGGGGTGTTATAACCCCTTCCTCTTCTTCACCATGCACCGCCCCTACGTGACCGCCCTATGTGATTAGCATCGTTGACCACCACTATTCCATGAAGAGCCCGTATTCCTCTTGGACTTCCATTGTTGCACAAAATGATACTAATTTTAGTTTCCAATTTGCATAGTTATGATTGATTGGAAAATAGAAAAAAAAACTATTTGTTAATTTTTTTTAAAATTAAGTAAATTAATTTGTTTAACCCACCAACCCATTGTGGGTTGGGCCAAACTCATTTTTTGTAAGTTTACTAAAAAGTAAGCCGGGTTAGATTGATCCATCTATTGATGAACTCATAACAAACTAGGCCGAGTGGCCTATTTTAATAACTCTGCATTTTTATTTCTCGTTCTCTTTTGTAATTTTTGTTTTTTATAATTCAAAGAACATCAAAGACATTTAAACCTAGTCACTTCTATTTCTTTGACAATAAAATATTTTATATCATTTAATACAACTTAAAATTATATAGATTCAATAAGAAAATAAATACAATATTTTATATTATTTCTGTTAAATATCTTTTGTCAATGAATAAATAATATAACTTTTAACAATAAAGAGACTCCAAAGAGATAACGTAAAACAGTTGAAGACAAGGGCAAAAGTAAAGCATTATATTATATCATGGAATAAGATATTTACCAATATTATCTAAAAAAGTAAAAAAAGGAAGGGAAAAAAAGTACAGCTGATTAAAAGTAACAAGATATACACATAATATAAAGATGCATCAGAAAAAGGACATTCATCTTGCAAGGACAGCTTTCGCTAAATTTCAAGTTTGATCATTCAATCTTTTGCTGAAATTTAGTGTAATCAATGTTGTACAATGCACTCCAATCTAGTTTCCTCTTTTGTTTGTTCAGCTTCTAGGTTTTGTGGCTTTGCACTCTCCTTGCTCTTCCCCCATAGTACGCTATAGAGTCCAACCACTAGTAAAATAGTGCCACCAACACTGCCATAAATTAATGAAAAGAAAAAAAAAATTCGTTATTTTGTTAATCATATAAAACATTAAAATCATATTTTCTTTATTATATTTTGGAGAATGTCATCAAAAGCCACAAAAGTGTGCAGGTCACTAGAAAACTCAGTGTTTTGCATTGGCCATCTAGAATCTTTAAATCAAAATAAATAAATAAAACTTCCTAACATATTCTGTTATCTTATTTAAATAAATATTTTATATTTTAATAATAAAAAGATATAATATTACTTGTTTACACTGTTATTTATTATTGTTCATTTTTGAAAGTGGTGAATGTAAGATTACTTTCGATTATTTATATAAAGTGACACTTTTATGAGCCTTATTATAAGTCTTTTTTCAATTAGTTTACAAAGACAAAGAAAATTATCAGAACTAATTGAGAGTCAAGAGTTTATAAAAAAAATCTATACTTAATAAAATATCCTATTTTAAAATCCATCAATTTTAATTAGTTTATCTCCCCATCCTTAATTACATCTTTCTAATATCTCATTACTTCCAATACGTACCAATTGACTATTGATAAATTTCTATAATATTATTTGGAAAAGTATATTTGTTTCTATTAGTATGGTGTAATTAAATATCATGTAATGAGAAAATAAGAATAAACTTGGAAAAATACTTAATACATCATAGATTTTATAAAGTGACTTATATACAGGAATAACAAAAACATTAAAAACGTGCTTACAAAAAGAATGGGGAGCGTAATTAAAAATAAATATAACCAATGTTCTATTTAAACTATAAAAGATAATTAATATTCTTTTATTTGGTAAATAAAAATAGTAAAAAAAAATGTTATGTGAAATTTAAAATGATTTTACATAAAATTATATATTTAAAATATTTTTATTTGACATTTCATAGTTGTTTTGAAATTGATAGAAGTAGAATATGAACCTTCCCAAGTAGAGTGTTTCCTTCCACAAAAGTGCTGAGAAAATTGCTGTGATCATAAGAGCTAAAGGGGTGAACATTGCTGTAAAAACTGGTCCCTTCGTCTCTATTGTGCACACTTGCAGCCAATAACAAATGCCTGTTACAATTACACCCTGCCAACAGCAACACTGTTAGTGATAATGCAAAAAGATAAAACGACAACAGAAAAAATAAAAAGAAAAGGTATTTTTTCTATATGAAGTAAGTCTAACAAAAAAAAAAACGTACTTTGATATTATGTTTTTTTTACTTTTTTTGTTATGATTAAACTTTCTTGTCAATTTTACTCCATGATTTATTTAATAATAAGAAATATTATAAAAATAGTTCAAAAAGTTTATAATTAACATTTTTCACATTACCTTTGAAAGTTCTCGCGGAGAGAGATTTGACCCTTTTAAAAAGTAGGATGCATTTTTATAAGGAAAGTATAAATTTAAAACTGATGGAAAACTTAACTATTAAATGTGATGAACATACATATACATAATTCAAGAAAAGAAGAGACCCATATAAGCATCATCTCATTATTTTTTGTCTTATTCATTTTAATGTTAGAAAATTATTTTCATATTTTCAATAAAGAGTATACATTTCAATATAATCACAAGTCTAAGAATAATTTGAAAATATATCATCTTAATTCCCAATAATTCAAATTAATTTTTTTAAAATTAAATTTACCTAATTTTAAACCAATAAAATATAAAACGAAGACATATTAACACACATAAAAAAAACTTCACCAATACTTTCCTTTTTATTTATTTTTATCATATCGTATTATTTATGTTGATCTCACATACAATTTTATAGGTGGAGTTAATATTGATCTCTAATCAAAACATAGAATTTCCTTCGATAATATACACATACAACTCAAATAAATTTTCATTAAATATAAATTTTAGATTTTACCCAAGAACAACACCGATCTTTTTAAGAAATTATGAGTAAATTTTATGCGTTGTAAATTTGAAATGAAAATGTGGTCCATTTAAATATTATACGTCAACGATGTTCTCATAAGATGTGATGGGGGCGTCATTTTTCGGTCATAATGACTATAACATGATCATAACTTGGTGGCTTTGAATGTGACATTCCCCTATCTCCTATAAGAGAAATGCAACCACATTTAGACAAGACTTCCACTAACCTCTATTTCTAAAAGATGGAGCACTTGGAATTTCATCAATAGATCAGTCCAAAATTTTATGATTATTATCATGCCCTATGCCTAAAGATTAATACCAATTTCTTGGTTGATTCGGCGTATCAAGATTACACAAACAACCAAATTTCTATAAATAAACATGCAAAAAAATGAAACAAAATTTCCAATTCCTTTAGGACATCAAACTTTCATTGACCAAGTATTAAAATATGATTTGTGATTCTTTTTGCACTATTGTTTTCTATATCTTTTGTTTGTTATTTCGACAAACATTTATAGAAAATAATAAAATAAAATAAAATAAAATAAAACGTCTCTTATGAATTAAAATTTATTTATGAACTTCAACTTTTAAAAAGCCTCTCTCATTTAACTTTTTCAAAGTTACATATGTTAATTTTAACTTGTAGAAAAAATTTGACTTGATTTAATTTTTTTTTTCTTTTCAAGAAGATTATTTAAACATCATCTAACTATATGTACTAATAAAACAATTTGACCTTTTAGTCCCTAAATTTTATATTTATCTTATATATATTTTTCATGATATTATTAATTATATTAATTACTTTCTCTTAATTATTTCTTTTGTATCTCTCTTTTTGAAAGGTGTGCAAGAGTCCCTCAAAGACGCGAAAAAGATGACTTTGTAAATCAAAGGAAGAACATCAAAATCTTTTTTGTATGTGCCTAGATAAGGGGACAAAGTAGTTGATTTCAAAGTTGGTATTCTTTTTCCTTAATCACAGCTTTTCTCCTGGGGCATATATTTTACAACTTTTGGACCTTTACCTATTCTCTAATCACTAGGATTTAAGATTTCTTACCATTTTAATATTTGCAATTTTTAATAAATTAATCTACTATTTAATTTGCTGTGCAGTGTATGCATGTAAATGTTATGTTATAAACTTACACAGTATGCCACAGAGAGAAGATGAATATCCCATCCAAGCTTCCATGCTGAAGGATTATTCCACTCTGCTGCAACAGCCACAACAGAAGACTGCATGAAGCTAAAGAAGCATTGTAGGGTAGTGAGACGAATTTTAGCTGGGTACTGCTTTACAACAAAACCCTGAGAGAAAAAAAATATAAATGTTAGTGAAAAATTTTAGAAGCAAAAATGCTCATCATAAAAAAAAATAAAAATTAAAAGAAATCATATTCCAACGACTGTTTTGCATAAAAAATTCTACAGTTAAGAGAAAAATAAAGACATAAATATTAGAGAGAATGACGGGATCTTGTTTTTGATCCCACTAGTGTGTGAAAACTTCTTTGACTAACGATAACCACAATACCACAAACAGAATCAACTTCTTATTCATTGAACTATGGATATTCATGATATGATAAAAAAAAAACAAGAAGATAGAATAAACCATATCATAAATCTTGCCCTTTATTGCAATATATATTCAAATAGAGGGGACAAAACAATTTGGTAACTACCTGCAAGATGAGCCACAAGGACCATGTAGTGTTTGCTGAGAGCATCATAAGAGAGCCTCTAATGAAATCACCTTTGGAGTGAACAATTGCCAAAGGGTGAGAATTATGGTTCTGATTTTCTGAATACCATTTCATGAATCCCAAGGGAGGTCCTTTGACTAAAGCAAATACAATTGCCCCAGAAAGGCTTAGAATAGAACCCAAAACCTTGGCCAGTCCATGCACACGTTTTATGGAAATGACTTCAACCCTGAAATTAATTTCCAAAACCATTTTCACCATATCAAATCGTAGATCAAGACCCTGCTTTAATTAGAAAAATGAATGGTTACGTATTTTATTTCCCATTTTTACCTTATTAAAACAGCCATGATAAAGGTAATGGCAGGGACAGTGTTTGTGGAGGCTGCAGCAAATGTTGCAGTGGTGTAGTTGATTGAAACATAGTAAAGGTTTGAACTCGCCGTTAACCTATACATTAAAGCACATACAAAAAGAATTTAAGATATCGTGTCTCCATCATAATTTAGAATTTCAACTTAATCTTTGAGTAATGTTGAACAAGAAATGGGGTCAGGAAAGAGACATATCATACCCAACAAGGGAAACTAGAAACAATTTGCACAAGAAGTTGCATGACAAAGGAGCTGATTGCTTGCTGCAAAATTAACACATGTGCAAAATTAACAAATAAATAATTTTTTTAACCATACTCAAAGTTATGATTAAGAACCAACAAATCATTAGTTTTGGTGATACCGAGTCTCGCTCCTTAACAAAGATTTTGGGCTCAAGTCTTATATATGAAAAAAATATAGTTAAAAGAAAAGATTCCACTAAAAGAAGTCAGTCAAATTCTTTGACAAAAATTAATCATGAGTAAAATTGGTAAATACTTTATAATTAAAAAAAAGTAAGAATTAAGAAAGGGTGAATGTAAACAGTAAAATAACTCTTGATTAAGAACCTGTCAAAGTATGCAAATGGAGATAAGGCAACTGTTGCAAAGGCTTGTCTATAAACAACAAACACGTAAGGGCTCATTCCCTTGGAAATTGCAGCCTTAGACAACAAGGCCATTCCTGCATACACGAACTGAATGAACAGCATTGCAACATATGGTTTATTTTTCTCTACAATCGCCACACAACCTAACAAAAAACTCTTCATTTTTGTAGTGCCTTTGAATGGGGACCTAACAGGGAAGTTTGTTCAATATATAGAGATTTTGGACTCGGTAGTTTGGTATGTGGCTTTATGCTTTCATTGATTGGCATTGTGCTTTATGTATTTTGACATCAAAGTGGCACGAATTAGGCCAATTAAATGGAAAAGTTATATCACTAGCCACTAGTATCGTTATCAATAGAAGGGCAGGGTTCACTGGCGCATAAGATTATTGTACCTTTGCATAGCTAAGGCAGCAACATGGTCACCATAGTGTTAACCAAATAGTAGAATTAACAGGAAGCCTTTTTGCAAGCACTGTAATATAAAATGCATATAACTAATGAACCAATCATACCAAGACTGCATGGTTCTGAATAATGGTTGCAGGTGTAATTTTTTTTTTTTGGATTAATAAGGGGCTTAAAAGCCCAATTATATGTTGAGATTATTTTATGATATTTATCTGATGAGATATTTTACGAGAGTTATTTTTATAAGGTTATTGCACAAAGATACTCCATAATGATGAGATATTGTTCGCTTTGGGCCTAAGCCCTCACGGTTTTGCTTTTGGTCATCACCCAAAAGGCCTTTCTATCATTAAAGTATATTTGTGTTATATAAGTTGTTATTTCTTGTCTTATTTTATCGATGTGGAACTTGTTTGTATCCCAGTACTATAAACTAGAATCTCTGAGGAAAAAAAAACAAGCAGACTTTCACTACTAGAATTTCTCTTATTACATGCGACTTTTCTTGCGAATTTTTATGAAAAATTCGCAGGAAACGTTGTTCCTACAAATTTTTCTGCGAAATTTTATCTGCAGGTAATACCTTCATGGATAATATATTTTTGCGAATTTTAAAATTCGTAGGAAATTTTTCTGCGAAATTTCTTGCAAAAAAAATCATAGGAAAGTTTCCTGCAAATTTTTTCGCAAGAAATTTTGCAGGAATATTTTTTACGAAAAAAATTAAAGAAATTACTGTAAATTCTATCAATAATTCTTCAACTTTCACATGCTCGCAATGAATTCATCCGAAGCATTTGTTTCCATGCCTCCAACATGTGATACACAATCTTTTAAATTCTAAGATTGTAGATTATAAGCCTAATACTCAACCATACAAATCAACTTGTAAGGTAAGTGTTTCCCTAACTTATATACTCTTTAATTGTTTTATTTTCAATCGATATGATACTTGAAGTGTTTTTTTTGAAATATTAAACTTATAAATTTAATTTTTTTTATTTTTCCTGTGGATTAAAGTTTGCAGGAAAATCCGCTGGAAAAATTACCTGCAAATTTTTTCTACCATTTAGTAAACATTACTTGCGAATTTATTTTTGCAAGAAAATCTGCAAGAAACAAAATAAAATTCTTACAATATTTTCTGCAAATTTTTACCATGGAAAAAAATTTCTATGATCATTAAAATTGTAGTAAAATTTGTAAGAAATATCTATAAATTATTTTTCGCAAATAAATTGGCAAGAAATTTCTACGAATATTTTTTGTAGGAAAATTCGAAAAAAATTTCTACGAATATTTTTTTGTTGGAAAATTCACAAAAAAATTTTGCAAATATATTTTTGTAGGAAAATTCGCAAGAAAATGACATTTTTCTAGTAGTGCTATTAGCTAGTAATAAAAAATGCATTCTCTCAGGGAGAGTTAATCCTATCTTAGCAAAACTATCAGTTACTTGATTTGCTTCTAGGAGGACATGAACACAATCTAATTCAAAAAAATCTCCTGACATCTTGAAAATTTGGTTGAGAAGAGAGTAACATGGATAATAAGGGGCTTAAAAGCCCAACTATATATTGGGATTATTTTATGGTATTTATCTTATGAGATATTTTATGGGAGTTATTTTTATAAAGTTATTGTACAAGCATACTCCATAATGAGGAGATATTGTTCGCTTTGGGCCTAAGCCCTCACGGTTTTGCTTTTGGTCATCACCCAAAAGGCCTTTATATCATTAAAGTATATTTGTGCTATATAAGTTGTTATTTCTTGTCTTATTTTATCGATGTGGGACTTGTTTGTATCCCAACACTATAAACTAGAATCTCTGAGGAAAAAAAAAAGCAGACCTATTAGCTAGTAATAAAAAATGCAGTCTCTCAGGGAGAGTTAATCCTAACTTAGCAAAACTATCAGTTACTTGATTTGCTTTTCGGAGGACACGAACATAATCTAATTCAAAAAAATCTCCTGACATCCTGACAATTTGGTTGAGAAGAGAGTAACATGGATATATTCGGGGACACCCATTATTTAAGAATTGAACAACAAAGAGGAGTTAGTTTCTACTATAATGTGAGAATGTAATAATCTATCATTGATAATATGTAGTCCATGAAAAATCGCCCAAAGCTCGACTTGTACAATAAAGCAACTCCCAACATTCTAGAAAATGCTAGTATGAAGATTTCATTACTGTCTCTCAATACACCACTACAAGAAGTCAAAGAGTTATTAGAAACTGTTCCATCACAATTAAGTTTCAGTATACCGAGAGGAGGTGAGACTCATCTAATTACTGACTTGTGTGAATTGTTCTGAGATGAAACATTAGGCTGCCCATACAATATTTTTGTTAAAACTTGTATGTGACCTTTGACCTCACAAGCTACTTGAGTAGGACTAACATCCGTTTGACAAAATATTAAATTATTACAGGCAATCCAAATGGAGTCCAGGGTGATAGCAAACAATTAGGACCATTTGGGATTGGAAGCATTTAGATTGGACAATAACCAATCATTTAAAAGAGAGAGAAAAAACCCTTGATCCACGTTATGGACCATTATTTCACTCCATATACTTTTTGAAAAAGTGCAATCTCTTAGTGCATGTAAACATGTTTCATGTCTTGCATGACAGCGTGTGCAAGTTGCAACTGCAGTTATAAAACGTGAATTTCTCTAATCATTTGTGCAAAGACTATTGTGTGAAATTATCCACAAAACACATTTGATTCTTTTAAGGTCGGGCCATTTCTAGATTAAATTAAAAAGACATTGTGACTCTATAGAAGGTGAATCTCTTAAGGATTTGTATGCAACTTTAATTGAAAATTTTCTAGTCCTAGAACCACCCCAAAATATATAGTCTTCATCATTTTAAGAAGGGGGTGCCAAACCTTGTATCTCTCGCCAGTGTTGACTAGGAATGTATGAGCGCACCTCATCAAGCTTCTAGTTCTCGTTCGCATAAACAAAATCAACAACTTTTCTACTTTGCATCTCCATTGGTACCGTCTGAATAACCATCTCACTAAGAACCATGTTGGATGGAAGCCAATGGTCAGACCATAATTTAGTGGACTTACCATTTCCTATGTTCCATGCTATGTTATGCACAACCTTGTCCCATACTTCACAGATTCCTTTCCAAAGGTTAGACACCGTTGATTTCTTATGGATCACCATAATCATATCTTCTCCACACATACTTAGATTGCAAAACCTGAACCCAAATCTTATTAGGTTGGGAACAAAGAGCCCAACAGTTCTTCATCATAAATGATAGATTAACCTTATGTGCCTCTCTTAGACCTAAACCTCCACCATCTTTAGGTTTACAAAGAGTTTCCCATGCAAGAGCATGGATATGTTGATTGTGGCCATCCTCCCCCCAAATGAAAGATCTACTAGACTTATCAATATCATCATACAACTGTTTAGGAAAGAAAACTGTCTGCATTGTATACAAAGGTAAAGCAACAAGGATCGATTTAGATAAAGTACGGCGACCTGTGAATGAGAAGGACTTAGTTTTCAAAGAGTTTAACCTTCTATTAATATGAACCATTATTATTTTGAGTTTTTGTTTGCTCACACGCTCATGATGAAGTTGGACACCAAGATATTTACCCAAGTCATCAGTACGTTGGAAGTTAAGCGAGGAATTAATTTTGTTCTTTATGTTCCATCCCACATTTCTGGAGAAGCAAACTCCTGTCTTTTCCTGGCTCACCTTCATGTTCGAGCTGTTATAGAATGTCTCTAGACAAGCTTTAATAATTTTAACTTGCTCTAGGGACATTTCAGGAAAATAATAAGATCATTAACAAATGCTAGGTAGAATAACGGTGGGCATTTTTTTTTTTGATAATTTGATTGGTTTTCATAGCTTTTGTTATTAAGCTATATTGATTAGATTAAATAACCTTTTCATGCATAGCATGAAAATATATGGGGACAAGGGATCCCCTTGTCTGATGACATAAGAAGGATTGAAATCCTCTAATGCCTCCCTATTCCAAAGAACCTGCATAGAAGGGGAAGAGATACATTACCAAATTAACTCAATCATTTTTTGCAGGAGTCCAATATTGGATAAAGTTTCTCTAATGAAATCCCAGTTTAGTCTATCGTAAGCCTTTTCTAGATCAATCTTTATGGCCATCCATCCTTTCTTTCCTGATTTATATTTCATAGAGTGAATCACTTCTTGAGTTATGATAATGGTGTATGTAGTTTGTCGATTTGGACCTACTATATCTTCCATAATACTTTTCAAACGAGTAGCCACCACCTTTGTAACTATCTTGTAGGATACATTACATAAGCTTATAGGTCTCATTTGCTTCAGAGAAATAACATTGTCGACCTTAGGAATAAGGGTAATAAATGTTTTGTTTATCTCTACAACCCTTTTTGGTTCCTCATAGATAGAGAGAATCAACTCATAAAGAGATGGTGCCATTATAGGCCACTGGGACTGGTAAAATAATACATGCTAAAAGCCATTCAGACCAGAGGCTTTCAAACCCCCCATATGTTTAAGAGCAACTTGGATTTCCTATTGAGACAAAAGTGCTTCCAGCTTCTCTATATCATCTTGTTTTAGTTCTGAAAATGAATTTTGTAAATAAAATGGTTCACACTCGCCAGATTCTGCAAATAAATCCTTATAAAAACTTGTTGCCATTTCTTTAAGCTTCTCTTTATCCTCAATCCAAACCCCTAACTCATTTTGTAGTTTAATCACCCTATTTTCCCCCCTCCTAATCA